ATATTAACGCGGACGATGCGTGTTCCAAGATCCACACCTACCATGGATCCTCCGAGTTCGGAGATCACCTTTCCTTTTAGCCAAGATCCATGTTTGGACCCAGTTGATCCAATCTTAGACTTATCCTCTGACCAGTAGAAAACCTTATCTCCCAAAGAGAAAGGTCCTTCGGTCATTGACAGTCTGGCCGCAAGATCTCTGCGCAGATCATCAGATTGGCGTGCCTCTTGGTAAGCCCTGTTGGCAAGCTCCTTAATGGCTCTCGCAGTGACTTCCGTATCAGTTGGATTACCTGTCAACTGATTGGGATCAGCGTTCTCTGGTGTTATAACATCTCGAGGACGCCTACCAAAGGCCATTTCTAAAGGAGTAACTCCTCCATAGGTAATCGAAGAGTTTCTTGCCAAACATGCTTGTCGAACGAGGTTGCCATACTTCATGGTGATTCCGTTATACTGCGGGTCACCATCCTTCAGGATCTGAAGTATGATCTTAATCTGATGCTTCAGCAATCTTACAGCAGCTTCGGCCCTGTTGGGCCATGGTGTTCCAGGTCCTGTTGCTACAGGCTTGATATTCTGCCGATTGTAATAAGCCTCCATTTTTGGAGTCATGAATGCTTGATCTCCAACTACAACCTTTGGGTTGATCTGAAATTTCTCAAAGTAGTCATTCATAATCGACATTGTAGTATGCTCTTCTTTATCCTGGACTACTTCGGAAGTCAACAGGTTTGTTGCTCCGTCATAGAGAATAAGAAATATTAAGCGACTATTTTGCCGGGAATTGGAAGCTCACCGTGATCTACGAAGGTGAGATCACCGAAAGTCTCTGATCTTAAACCGGAAATCTTCGCTCTTGAAGGAGCTCTCACGTGTTCCTGACAGGCTGAACACTTTTTGACCAGTTGGTCATATAGCTCATATATCTCCTTTGGGATCTGTAAGGCTTTCGTGCGTCGCTTGAACTGATCCGTACTCATATGACGGTGCTTAAGGTGAAGCTTATAGAGTTCTACAGGGTCCTTAAGCTTCTCATGAATCCTGCGAAGAGCAATGGGAAGAGATGGCGATGGTTCTGCGACAGTCTCTTCACCTGTAGGTGAGTCTGTACCAGGAGCCGGGTATTCTCTTGACTCAAGTGGTCTTACCTCCGTCCCGTCATCAGCTCCTGGGACTGTAGACTTCTCTTCAACAGGAGGTTTGACCGCATATTTGCGGGTTTTCTTCAGAAGGTTTTTAAGACCCTTTGGAGTCTTTGTCTTCGCAGGTGGAACCTCAAGTCTTTCTTCTTCTGGAGGTTCGTGCGGTGCAGATGATTCTGCAGGTTTGTCTCTAGAGCCTGATGATGGTTCCGGCGGTTCGGAAGGCTCAGGAGCATCACCAGATAGTTCTGGTGGATCGGGTTTCTTGGCAGATGATTCTGCCGGATCAGATGGAAGAGGCTTCTTCTTACCTGGAATGCCCTTCGGTGGTGGATCAGCTGCTCCCTCAGGTGCCTTGTCGCAACCTTTGAGGTACGTATGAGCCCTTTTCTGTCCTGCGCAGGCTGGACAGCGACCTTCCGGGATCCTAGTATAAGATCTTCCTTCTTCCTTTGGCTTCCTAGCTCCTAGAGCAGTCTCTGTCGCACTGAACGACGTACCTGATTTAGGGAGATACTTCCTGGTGGAAGTGAAGCCTAGAAGGTCCAATACCAAATGGTTATTGGTACTAATCGGAAGAGGGGTTTTATACAAACCGAAAGCTTCACACGTTGCTAGGTCAGCTGTGGGACTACACTCGAGGGTCATTCTTAGATTCCTCATCTGTTCGATGGAGAACAAAATGGGAACTCTCCCCTGATCCAGAACTTCTATGGTTGTATCTCTTCTTGGAGTTGTGTTGAACCATAGAGTTACACGCTCCTTGATAAGAGCTGTTTCACTATCTGCGAAAGAGAACTTCGTGTTCGAAGGTGAGAAAGTGAAATCAATCATGCCTGGGGCACGTTGCTTCACGGCCTTGATAAGCCTATTCACCGCATAGCGGGAACCCATAGCCCTAGTACAACCTGAGTCAAGTATGACAAAGGTAGGGCTCTTATCAAGATTGATCCGCTCTGTGAGAGCAGATAGGACGGTGTGCTGCAACGGAAACACCGCTGTTGCAGTTTCAACACCTTGCCCCTCGGATGGTTCAAAGACCTGGGGCACGTAACTCACTGATGAGTTGAACACGGGTTCTTGGTGCGCGCTCGGATCTGTGCCTCTACCTGATGATCCTGCTTGATTTCTTCTCTTCTTTCTCCGTGTTTTTCTTCGTGAGGCTTGTGATGCATAGTATGTATAAGACGTTTGATCGTCATAAGCGGCATAATTCCAACTGGAGTCAGTATAATAACTGTCCTCATACCATGAATCCCAGCTCGGTGCGGTGGAACTTCATAGGCCTGTGGAGATCCAGTTTGGTCTCCTTGTAAGGAGGCAGACTTAGCTGTATCCTTACCTTTGCCTTTTGCCTTTGCGCCTTTGAAGGAGCTTCCTTTATCTCCTTTGTCCTTCCCTTTTCCTTTGCCTTTTCCACCTTTTCCTTTTTCCTTTCCTTTACCTTTACCGAAATAGCTGGAATCAGTTGGATCATGTTCTGCCTGGTTGGCTCTCCCTTTTCCGCGGTATGACCTAAAACGGCCACGTCCTTTTCGCTTGCCACCCTTTGCTCTTCCCGGTGATCCGGGACGCATTCTTGGTCTTCTTCCCTTTTTGAATCTCCTTGCAACGAAGGCCTCATGGTCATCAACTGTCCAGAAGACAGCTTCTTCATCCTCGGCGGCAAGAAAGCCTTCCTCAAGGGTGTCTTCGTCTTGGAGCCAGAATCCATCGACTCCATCGTATTCACCCTGATCGAGGATGAGGAAGTTTCGACCTCCGCGTTTGCGGCGTTGGTCTCTCCTTCCATGGCGGTCCTTCTTGTGAGAAGAGTGCCGAATGTTGGGATCCTGCAGACCAGTTCTGGTCGTTGAGAACTGATCGAACATGGTCTGCCGTACCACAGGGTACGTGTAGGTCTCAATTCGGTGACCTTGGTTGGTCAATGCTGTTACCAACCTCTCACGTTGCATCTCATTTAGGTCGGACTGCACTAGGAAGAGGAGAGCTAGGAGATTATCGTTCAGAGGAAACGCTCTTCGATGATTGTCAAGGCGTTCCTTGTTCCATGTTTCGAAGAAACGTGCGGCGTATGTGTCTCTCTCGGTTGCATCCTGTAGGCGCAAGAAGGTTTGATCTGCCTGCACAGCTTGCATGAAATCTGGATGGGCATCCTCCAGAGCTATCTCTGGTAAGAGATCCATCCATGAGTTTTTCACGCGCTGTAGCACGATCTCAAACTTGGCAATCCAAGTCACAAAGTCTTGGTTGCCCTTCCATGCCTTGAATAGGCCGAGGAAACGCCACAGGAAAACGTACTGTTCTCCTTTCACGAAAAATGGACGCATCTTCTTCTTGAAGTAATCTACTCCATCTGGGGCTGCAAGCCTTTCTCGGTTCAGTGATTCCTTTTGTACTGCGGCCAATCCGGAGAGCCTCGTCTTGAGAGACGGACCTCTTTTGGTGTCATCCAGCGTTGTTATGTCGCACCAGTCGTCAATCAACTGTTCATACTCAAACCACGAGGTGGTGCCATCATAGGCAGGCGCGATCTTGGGCGTTATGCCTAATGATGCAAGCATGCGGTCAGATGTTGCATATGACTGTGCGACATAAGTGGCTGGACCTTGGGAGGTCTCTTCGTTCTCATATCCCCCGGAGGATTGGGAACTGTCGTCGGCTTCGCTATGCGAGCTCGACATTGTGCTGCCTCTTATCCGCTTGGTTAAGCGTTCGGCGAGGCCGACCGCTGTAGCGGACTTTAGGAGGCGGGCGGCCCTTTCCGGGCTCCGCTACCAGAAAACTGTGCCGATACACCCACAAGGAAATGCTCCTTGTTAGGAGGTGTATGACCAGTTTATTCCCTAAGGATCAAAGGGCAGCGCCCTGCACACGGACAGTAGTTGTTTTGTCTTGCTACGCAAGGAGAGCTTGTCTTGTCTCAATATGGTAAAACCACTGTGAGCCAATGGGCAGCGGAATGTATATGTATGAGCATGCAGCCATTGCTGTAGGTACCTGTTAGAGCTACCCCTTTAGAGGTTTACGGAATCACCCCCTCCCTCCCCCCCCCCTCCCCCCTCCCCCCTTTTTCTTCCCTCTTTCCTGCTCCCACTTCTTCTCCCCGCCCTCGTTTCGTCTTCCTCGCCCCCGCTTTGGCTTTTGCGTCGTCAATCCACTGCCTGTCTTTCTTTTCAGGCTCTTTCTGTGTTGTTTTTTCTTGCTCCGGGCGGCATGGCTGGAAGGCCTTAACCGGTTACAGGCCCAGGCGTCTTGGTGGTTACCTCAGGTACCCTCCACCTAATCCTCCTCCCTGCAGTCCAAATGTTTGGGGACACCCGTTTTTTGCGCTCATTTGCCACCCCCTTGTCCGGCTCCCCCCCTCCCCGACACTCCCGCTTAGCATGCTGTATACAACATCCACTGCCGCCTCGCCCTGCCGCTACAGAGCCGAGGCGGGCGGCGTAGCGTTAAAATTATAATATATATGTATAGACATTTGTGTATATATAAAGAGAGATGCATGTATGTATGTATGTATGTATGTATGTGTGTATGTATGGACTATATGTAGAATACGTATTACATGTACCATGTATGCATGTACGTATGTATGTACGCACCTTAAACTACCAAACCCTACTTTTTTGTAGGTTCTGATTACAAACCCGAATATGGAATTTATAGGAACCCTCCAAAAAAGTAGGATTTGGCAGGTTAGGGTATGTATGTATGTACGTATGTATGCATGTACCTAAAGAAAACTGAAATACTGCGCTGACACTCTGAACTTTGCGGCTTTTTACGTAAATCTTGCCAGCACTAGGGCAGAGTTTAGGTCGTTTAAACTCTGCAATCGCAGGCTCACCAGTGCCTGTCTTCCTCCTCGCCGTCGCCCGTGGGCTCGGAATGAAGCGAGGACCTTAGGAATTGCAGCCAGGAAGTCTCCGACAAGAGTTCTGGACCCAACTTGCAATCCTGCAGGACGTGAAGAGCTTCAAGATCACTGCTGAGCAGCAATCCTAATTGCGGCTTTTGGCGATGCAGACCAGCCCTAGATGGCTCTGCGCCCGCGACCACACCGAATTTCCAGGATCAAAATTGAGTGATCTCCTAAGACGCCGACAAGCATTCGACCGAAGGAGAAAAAAGCGCAGACTGACAAGACCCTGAGCTGCGGACACCTCGGCCTCGGAGGCGCTGACGCTGGGACCCTCCTGGTCCTCTGCACTCTTCGACTCTAACGACTCTAGGGACTCCAGTTCAGGGCTCGAGGCCGACGTTTGCGGAATCAGGCGTGGTCGGAACTATGGGAGACTTCGGATTCCGTGGCTACAGTTGACTACCCTCTCACCATGCAGCGGCTCGGCTGCGCTAGTCGATTTGGCTGCCAAGACCAGCCATTCTTAACCTTGCGAGTCTTCCCCCCGTCCAGATGCAAATACCGGCAGCAGGCTCCTCTGCGGGAGCAAGCACGTGGTCCTCACCTTTGGCAATTGCTGCATTCAACGCGAGATCCCCAGCGCAAGAGCCTGATCGATGAGAGAGATTATCATAATCCTTACAGTCCCTGAGTCTTCAAGAACAATGCAACCGAATTCCAGTTCGAGCCCAAAGCCCTCAAGACTTCTTTGTGGCCTCCTGTTTTGCTGACGACAACCAAATACATTTCCAAGACTTCCAAACTCGTATCAGAACATGAACAAGCCACAAAACCCTACATGATGAACTTCGAAACGATCTGATTCGCCCCACAATCCTCAGCTTTGCTTCGGCCGCACCCGGCCCCGAAAATTGAGATGAAAGACCCCTCAGGCCAAAACACCTCCGAAGCGCTTGAAAACCCGATGTTTCGGAAATTCGAACCCAAACAGTCGCTGAAGGCTCGAAAAGAACCCTTCAAAAACTCTGGGCTTCCAGGCTGGAGGCGACGGAGGGCGCATCTCCCTGCGGAGGGCACAGGGGCCCAAACCAAACCTCGGGGCCCTTGGGCTTTGCTCCTGAACCAAAAGTACGTTGTCAACACCTCCGGGCTTCTGGTATAGCTCCCCGCACGCGACCACTGCATCTGGTAAAGCATAATCTAACGAGTATCCTGACCCTCACTTCAATACTACTGGTACAAAAAGCAGAGGCATATACATATACACACGCGAACTTGCACGCACCGCGGCTGTGTGTGAAGCAAGAAGCCTTACTCTCATTACACTGCAATGACGAAAACATCACAACGTGAAACCTTTCGAGTATGAGGCATGAGATGGAACGAGTAAGTACTTGTTCAGTATCAGTAGTGGCCGTTTCTACGGAGGTGAAAGCATTCCGTGCTGCTCTCAAAGGCCTCCTCTTGCACCGTCCGCTGCGGCTCACGTAGCCTCAAGCTGAGCTCGTTCCATGGTTCAGACTTCAGAGAACGCTTCGAAAACAGCCGCCTGCTACCGCTGTATGCATCGAGAGGTGCCGAGACAGCCGGGGCCCCAGGCAGCCGAGAAAGCTGCAGCGCCTGTTTGCTGAACCGCCGAAGCCTTGGCAGTGCTGCTCGTGACGCTTCGAGTTCGGATGTCGGGGATGATGAGGTGGTTGGCTGGTTGGCTGCAAACCGAAGAAACGAGCACATCTCTAAACTTCCGGTGCCATTCTTGACGCAAGGCGCAGATAGGGGCTACGACGGCTCCATGTGTCAAACGTCACGCAACTTCTTGCCGCCTTACGTGGTTTCTCTGCTAGCAGCTCCCCATACCTGGATACCTGAAACTACTTGCACCTGAGCTTGAGCTGCATTCAAAGATGCGCTTCGCAAACAGAAGTGCTGCACCCTCTGACTTGAGGGGCCCTGCCCAAAATGTCGCACGCGAACGTTGCAGAGTGGCGCCAAAAGGCGCTTTCTGGACTCCCGTCAACCAGCTAAGGCCAAAGCAAAGCATTGTACCGGCCCACCTACTGGAGCATGGGGATCTGCGGGCTTAGAGTTTTAGAATCTGGTGATAGAGTCACGAGAACGCGGCTGCTCTACACTGGATCTTCTGGGGCCAACCTACAAGGACAACCCAAGCAAAGTTGAAGTGTCTCGGTTGCGCGGTTTTCCCGTGTAGCAGAACCACGGACGAGTGCTACTGCCAGATTCTAGATGTCACCAAGGCCGGGGTGTGGAGACACAAGTTCCATGGGGCACGGGATGCCCTTCGCCACCGCATTCGTGCAGTGCGAAGGGGTCAGTGACTCATAGGAACGCATCAACCGAGGAGCAGCTTGCCGAAGGAGTAGCAGGAGCAGGGGACGAAGAGCAGTAGAAGGAGGAGTGGGACTGGGGGAGCACGAGTAGCTGTGAGAACGAGAGGAACGTTGAATCAAAAGAGCAGCAACAGCAGTGACAGTGGCAGTTGCAGTCGTCGGGTGGTTGTTCTGGCAATAGTTTAAATAGTTCTACTACTTATTGACTACTGCTCCCAGTGATCGTATTGCTACTGATCCTATATTGGTTAGAATGCCACGTGACAAAACTAGAGGCAAAAGTAGACCTAAGAAGCTATTCTTCGCCCGGTTGATGATATAAATCCTGCATTACCCATAATAAGAAATATACCATATTTCCACATATCTCCCAAAGTAATGTAGGATTTATATCATCAACCGTAGTAGTTCCTGAAGCAATAGCCCGGGCTCCGGGCGATGGTATGATGATCATGACAACACTGATACACTGAAACGAGGCTAGACATGTAGATCCAACGAGCCTCGTGAACCACTTCCTCCGCGTTGAAGAAGCAGCCTTGCAGACATGCGATTAAGCCCTCCTGTGGACCCTAGTACCGACAAAGCAGCTCATCTCAGCAGCAATGAAACTCTCACGAGTAATCTAAACAATATGCTGGCTCTGATGATGAGGGATGGTGAACATTATCGCCCTAAACCTGATCATGTCCACGGCAGCGATGTTCGTCGCGATGTTGTTTGCGCTGTTGGTGATGATGACGATGATGATGATGATGATGATGGTGGTGGGCAGCATAGTCAGAATCATGACCATGACGGCGCATGTGATGCCATGGTTAACGTGATGGGGATCGTGATGGTCATCATGATCTTGATCATGGCTATGACTGTGATGGTGATGCCGATGTTGGTGATGATGACGATGGTGTTCATCAGCAAGGCTGTTGCTGGAAGTCTGGAAGTCTTGTTCGTCTCCCGATGGCCTCGCAGACTCTCATCGAACTTCTCTTGGAGCTCCTTGCGCTCTGCGCCAAGAAACACACAGAGGGTGGATCCGAATGCCGGAAACCCTTGATGGCTTCGAGCTAGGCCTTCCTTTCAAAAACCCGTAAGACCATTTGTCATTAGAGTTCTGCTGACCAGTGATCCAACGACATTAACACGACCTCAATGAAGCACGAGATAAAGGCTTCAAAGATCCACTGGCTGCAATCCCAGATGAAAAAATTGAGTGTCGCACTGCACAAGACTCCTATCCGACACTGTGCACTACGTGAAACAGTATAACATCGGGCATTCTGGGTCAAAGGGTATGCGCCACTGCATGTAGACAAGCCTAAAGTTCTGATCTCAACATCTGCTTAACTCTTGAAGCCACCGGCTCGGGGGCTTGGGGTCCAAGCTCCTGGCAAAGCGCGAGAACATTTCATGAAAGCCAAAGCCTACGCCCTTTCACAAGTTTGAGTCGACAACGAAAACCCATCACTTGCGCGAGAGGCCCCCCAAAAGGGACTTCAGATATATCCTTCAAGCAGACCCGCCTATGGTAAATCGCCCATCGCCCAAGGCTTCGAGGTTTCAGCACGGAGCCTCCACAAGCCACGGCTTCACTTCGCCTCGGCCATTCGGGCGTTCGGGCGTCGGGTGGTTCTCAGGTGCCTTTCCAGTCCGCCGACAAACCAGAAATAAGCCAGATCATTGCGTGTAAACTCAATGATTCGTCTCCGTGGATTAATTAGTGCTAGACTGCTTCGACAAGTGCGGCTATGCCTGCAGCGATGACAGACTTGGAGAATGGAAGTAGTACCTGGCCCTGACTATCTCTGGCATGGCCTTATGGATTGAACCTCCTCCCCTACGGGAGCACAACAGTGGAGGCTGCTCAGACCACAACCTTACCCCGCCCATGACAAGACAGAGCTGCAAAGTCTCCGACCCCACAGCAAAACACGAACTCTGCAAGATACATGTGGCACGAAGCCCTGGCAGCATCTGGTCTCTAGGATGTTCCGAGGCTTCTGTGGCATGCTCTGGTCATTTACTGTAGAATATGTCCCGGAGCTCACTATCTCAACTGTACACGTTTCGGACTGCATCAAACTTGAAACCGGATGTCAGACAAGACCTTAGGCGAGTCATGCACACCAGCTTTCAAGACTCTCTACGAATGAAGCCCTCACCTGCAAGTCGAGCACTGCCTGCGCCCGCAAAACCATTTTTCGAAGCTTCTGCGCGACGTCGAAGCATCCGACCCTACTGGGAGCAATCTTCTGCGCCCGACTGGCCCGACTGAACGAAGTCAGAAGAGCGGAGCACTGCAAGAGAACGCAGCAATCACTCTCTGTCAGCGATAGGTTCTCATCAAGTGAGCATCCCTCTCCCTGAGCTGATTCTCAGCCTGCTGTAGCCTTGACTGACTGCCATCGAGCTTCTTCTTCATAAGACGAAGTTGGTCCATCCCTGCTTGCACCTCTGACTCCTTGAGGCGTAGCTGGGACTCCTTGCCTTGCAGGAAGGTCATCGTTCGCTCGATGACCTTCTGCATCAAAGTGCTGTCCCCATAGCACTCTCCCCAGTCTCGAATGCCACGGGCGAGGAGCTCATCGATACCCCGGCGCACATTGTCGTCCAGGTTCCTGGGCCGGATACCATATTTTGGCAATGGCTTTGCAAATCATATCTTCATTGATACTCAAGTAAACAACCACAACAGCAACGACCAGACTTGCAGCAGTACCGAAACCAGCACGATGCGTATGCGGCGCAGGCAGAAACGCACCGTTTCTAGGTGAACTTCCAGTTTACCCGAGCCGAGACACAATGCATGAGCAGCCACGAGGACCTTCGTGGAGGGCTCCGCTGTACGTATGAAGTCCACACACTCCTCTGGGCTTAAAACCTACGGGCACAAAGCTTGGGGCATTTTTGCATTCATGAAGCAGTCCTCCCTCAGTGTCTCGATCATGTACTCTTCACACAGCTTCCGCAAGAATCCCACATTCTCATCGGAGAGCTTCTGCTTTCGGCCAGCCGATGGCATCAGAAACTTCAAGAGAGTCTCAAACTGCTTAGGGTCTTTGCCTGGCAACTCGATCTCTCTGCGCTCCTTCTCCTTCATCTCATGAGTCAACATCTTGTGGAAGACCGGTGAGGCCGTCATCAGCGTCGCAGAGGCTAAAGCATCCACACGAAGCACGGTGCCGTCCTCGAAGCGGATGGAAATGTCAGAAAGCAGCAGCTGGCCCTGGCCCTGGCCTGCGTCGCTTGCGGCGCTTGTGGTGCTTCCGGTGCTCGGGAGCGCGCCAGCCAATCCAGCCATGGCTAAGGAGATGGCGCCTCCCCCCTTTCCCTGACCCTCCCAGGATACCCCCGGAATCGGAGGGCAGCTGGCTGAGACTTGAGCCGGAGACGGTGGACGAAGACGAAGTGCCACAGCTTTCCATCACCACCACCATCATCGCATGGATGCAGTAAATACAGGAACGGGATCTGTAAACGTCCTTGAGACTTTGTCTTCTGCCCGGAGTCAGAATGCCTGGAAAGGGATCCGAGGGCGGCACTGAGGCTGGCAATGAACTTTTGCTGCACCTCCCATCTCGCTGCTCTGCATCGAAACATTGCGCTACCTGTAGAACCTCGCATCCTGTTAGCAGATCGTGTCGGCACGTTCTCAGCATTCAGAGTTGGTGCACGAAGCCCACGATCGGATTCGGAGACCCTGCTCGCCTCCCCATCTTGCTCCAGGGAGCCGTCGATCCGGGTGAACCTCGGAGGCTTAAGAAGCCAACCGTCGAGCGTTCGCATTTGGAACCCAGCCTTTCCGTGAGCTCGACAATCTTCCGGAAGTGCTCGCCTGCAAACGACGGCTGGAAAAGAAGCCAACTGGTTTTTTGTTCCCGCCCTCGGCCCTCAAGCCCAAACTCACCTGAAAGCCCAGCCTAGGACTCCACGGAACTCTTTTGGATGTGCCGTGAGCTTTACGACCTCGGCAGGCTCGAGCATAGTACGTGCTCGCCCTTCCCAGCAACAGCAGCATCGAAATCGACTTTCTTATCCTTAATCCTCAACTGTTCAATCCTCGCCGTCAGCATCATCAACAACAACAACAACAATCAAGTCGTCGTCGCAACTCCGATCTTCATACAGAGCTCCAAGATATGACTGAAAATTTTGCTGGATGGCTCTTAGAGCCCAGATGACGTGGCTCGTTTCTTCTTTCATCGAAGGCGCTCCTCACTGGAAAGATGGCTCCTGGGCAAACTGGAGCCTCGAGGTTGTCTCAGAGTGCGGCCAACTCTCCCTCCGGATCCTCAAAAAGGACTCGATCGTCCTCCCGATGGCCACGTTTGTTTTCGTGGCAGCACTTTTTGTCTCCATGGATCCGACATAGACTTGCGAATACAAGCTGCTCCCTCGCTGCCCTCGGGCCTTCAGGTGCTTCGATGCAGCTCGCTGAAGAAGGCCTTCTGTTGTCTGTCGAAACTGCAGGTATCTTGATACTTCAAGCGGGCTTGCATCTGCAGTGACCCACCGGGATTCTGGATGCTCCTTGTTTCCTTTTCCTACAGATGGAACTGCGGGCAATAGTCAGGCTCCTGAAACCTGGCGTCTTCCCGGTCTGAAACTCGATTGAAGCTTCTGGCTCAAAGTGGCTTCTGGATGTTACGTGTCAGGGCAGTCGAGAAACCGTTTGATTACAACCACTCCAATTTCGAAAACTCATGTACCTCCCAATCGGCCCATAAGCCGAAGCCAGTAGAGCTCAATTGCCTGGACGGGAGCTCCCTGCTTGCTCGTCCTCCGGTCGCGGTGGCTTCGCTTGGGCTTCGGATAAGTGTCGACAGTTTCCAGTGTGATCGACATACCGCGCCAACACCGCGACTATTGCTTGCTATTGTCAACCCCCCTACTGCTGCGAAGCTGCTATTGCTGCTGTGACGACGTGCCCTAGAAACAACCTTGCACTAACCTAACCAGAGTCTCCGTTGTCGTGTCCGCGACAGTCATGTCGGAGACTTCAAAACCCAAATAACGAGCGCGAGAAGCACAACAACACCTAAAGCCTCAGCAACACAAGTGGACCTTTGGGCTTGTGCTTTGATTCGAATGTCCGAAAGGAGCCGCGAGGAATGCTCCCTTCCGTAAGGTTCGTGTTTGGTTGTTTCACTGCTCTTCTATAAGTGTTACTACTATAATTATGGTTGCTGTATTGGTTATCATGAGCGTCTTTATGTTTACGTAAGGGTTATCAAGAAATCCGTCTCGCCAAATTCCACACATGCAACCTGCTCAACCACGACATGAAATTCCCCGGTTGACAGACATCCGAAGCTCATTGCCGACATCCTTCGACTTCCAGGTTCTTGAAGCTAAACAGAAGCGCCACAAAGCTTTCAGGTACACTGTCAGACAAACTTCACCGAATTTTTACCCGTTGGAGACAACAGATAACATCAGAGAACAAGAAACGGCACGGAAAGCCTTACTCTGAAACCAGAATACTTCTGCCCGCTTTTTGACTCCTCGCTCTCTTCGGCATCCTCGGCGGCCTGCGCGCCTTCTCAGAGAAGGTTTGCTTTGCTGAGCGAGGGCAACTGTCTGGAGATTCGAGCTGAGAGCCTTTATGGTTTGAGGTTCCACTTGGGTGGATCTCTGAGGCGCAGGGGGCTCCAGTCTCGCGATTTCGGGCTTTCCCTTCCTGGCTCCAACCTGCTACCTTCTTCTGACCTCAGACGGTAGGGGTTGGGTTTAGAGAGTTTCATGCCATGGCGCTGGACGAAGGATAGCCTTGTACCTGCAACCGACTGAGATGCTATGCCCCGGAGCTTGCCCCCACACTGCCGACCAATGGCCTGATGCAAGCTGCGCTGCCCAGTGGACGATATTTTTCCTCGCATCATGAATGTGGCAAATGATGGTGCTATAAGCAACGAGCGTTGTCCACATCTTCAAGAATGCTGGTAATACAAGGAGTAGCAACCATTCTTCACCCGCGTAGAGCAACAGTGTAACAGAACCACACGAAAACTAACAGCCAGAATAGAAGCATAATCTCCTTCGTCAGCTTCATGGAGAATGCATATGATGCTTGCCATCACGCCTGTAAACTTCTACTCTCATGCACTCCAGAAGGACCTTGCTGGCTTAGCTGGGTATGGGACCGGCGACTGGTGGGTTCGTGTTGCAAGGCTCAAGATGCTTCAGCAAAGCTGCTGATGACTCTCATGACGAATATTCATTGCTAATCACTGCTAGCTGAAGATCGCAGTCATGGTTCTGCATCAGCCTTGAGAGCACAGAGCTTCCCTGCCGCCTCCTTGCCCTAACATCCAACAGACACTGCGACATCCTGGAGCCGAGGGTCCTGGAGCCCAAATTCTCAGAGCCGCAAAAGACCCTACTTCCAGACCCACCAACTCAGGCCGAGTGTCTGGATGGCGAGATGGTTCGCGGATGGAGCACCACCTCCGTCAAGGCAAGGTTTCTACGGGAAGCGCGCCCGGGTTTGACCATCTAGGCACTCAGGGTTTCTCGGGCGGCGATAGGTTGCGGGCGAATGCCCGGAATCGTTATGGACTCTCTGAGAGGGGTAAACATTGCAATGCGAATCACAACAAGCACACATAGCATATGACTGAGTATGATCACAAGGAATAGACCAAGAATTGACAAAAGAAGCAGAAAGTCGAGCCAGACATAGCGGTCTGGTCCCATGTACGGCTTGCACGTTCGGGTTCGAGGATGGGGGACGCGAAAAAGCACACATGCGTCTCTCAGACTACAAGCTGCGGATTTGTGCTCGAGATTTCGTATCAATGTGAGCAGGCATGAAGCTTCAGTCCACTCAGGCCAGTGAACGCGGTATCCTCTTTCAATCGAGAAGTCCTTCAGCGGGAGCTATTCGGTGTGTGACCCGATGCAAACCATGAACAGGAAGATAAAATCGGGTGCGAAACGCAAGCCGAGGCTGCTGCCAAACGCTCCCCCGTCCGGCTGCATATCCACCTGCCGCGAAAATCCTATCCCTACAGTATGATTAATTAACTGCTACGACTACCACGATTTCGACTTCATTGCTTTCTTCTTGCTCTTCTACTCCTGCTGCTGCCGCTGCTCATTATCCGCCGAGGCCACAGGCCCAGGCGTCTTGGGGGTTAGCTCAGGTACCCTCCACCTAATCCTCCTTCTGGGGTCCAAATGTTTGGGGACACCCGTTTTTTGCGTTCGTTTGCCACCCCCTTGCCCGGCTTCCCTTCATTTTACCTGATTTGTCGGCCTGACCCCCCCCTCCCACCCCTCCCCCGCCTCATTTTACCTCCTCCCCCCCTCCCCCCCCCCCACCCCTCCCGCCCCCCTCTCGTATCAACAACCGTGTAAAGGTTGGGGTTTGACTAGCATTAAAAAACATCGACTGCCCCCTCGCCCTGCCGCTACACAGCCGAGGCGGGCGGCGTAGCGTTAAAATTAATTACAAAGACCTCGGCGGTGACTGTGTACGACCACGACGAGCACAACTCGACCACGACCGGGATGAGGGCTACTGTTCCGACGACGACACTACGACGGAGGCTGCCACTACCACTGCGCCAGCGCCACCACCACCACCACTACCACAATCTGAAGATATGACGACATGACAATGCAACGAAGCGAGCTGTGGGACCTTGGCGATCTCCGAAAGGTGCTTTTGCATGACACTTTGGACCTCGGGAGGGCTCCGATTGCCAGAGAGACCGGGCAGGGATTGACCCTCTGCTTCAAGGCCGAGAGCTCCTACAGCACGGTCCTCATCACCATAAAATACCGCATGGATGTCCCACAGTATCAAGTACAGTATCAAGGAGCCCCATGCGACTTAGCTCACTTATTGGATGCTTGCAGCGACAAATAACCCTGGACATCATTCTTCGCACGGTGCCGATCCCGAAGCAAGAGCAGTTGTAAGAAGATCGCTCTGGAGCGGTCCTGGCATCATACCCGCAAGACGTGCTTCAAGGAACTCCGCTGTTCTGCCCGCAACTTTCGACTCGAGCGCGGTGGAGTCCTGGCCTGCAGACCCCCCCACCGAGGCTGCTGCCGTGTTTGCAAAGTTTTTCCGGTGAAGGAGGATTTCCTGGAAGCTTCGGCTTAGGGCTGCGTTCGGTCTAGCGGGGTTGGCCTGGGGTTCTTGAAGTTTGTGCTCTTATTGTCCGCTGCGGAGGCTCGCCACTGGATGCCACTGGTGTCTTTATAAGTTCGGGAGATACTTCTTAAGCCATCCGGTCTCTATAAAACAACCCACCCTAATCCTAGAAGCCACAAGGGAACCAACACAGCTTTAAGAAAAAAATGGAACCTCGCACTCAACGAAGTCAGACTTTGACGCAGGTCGAGGCCTCATTGAAAGCCAAATCCCAATGCAAGACTGATTGCAACAGCCGATGACACCAAGCCAAACCTTTCTACGGCCCTGGACACCCGAAAACCTTTTATGTCGGCAAGATGCCAAGCTCTTCGTGTCCGCGGAAGCAAAGAAAGCCTCTATGGCCAACTCCAAAGAAGGGACGAAAGGCTTCTCCTGGGCTTTTGGGATTTGGGATTCACGGCTTCGTAGGGGCACGAAGCATGGTTCCTGGTCGGGGCAGACTCGGGGGCCTGCAGTTGAGGGTTCATATGTTCTGCTTCGCTTGCTGGCTTCAAGCCTGTCGGTAGCCTTAGCATAACTTTTACCGCTTTCGGGTTCTGTGGTTTGGGCTGGGTGTTGCGATCTTGAACACCAAGCAATACCCGCTTCAGACGTATACAGGTGCTGAAAACGCTCCAGCCAAGTGGCGCTCCTCTCGACGATGACCTCGAAAGATGGTCGTCAGCTTGCTTGAAAAAGAGCAGATGCTCCGGAGCACTTCGGAGCACCCGTGCGCGTTCATGCTTGATTTGCAGCTTACAGTCGAGGTTCCGCGCTCGGGGTTTCTGGGGGCTCCTGCATGAGAACCCTCTCGCAAGAATCCAAACTTCCAGGATCCTCACCTGGATCCGGAAGAGCGGGTGCTGCTCGTAGCTGACTAGGGCCATCCGCTGGTACACCAGTGGTGGCCTTGGCTTGGGACATTCGAGATGAAAACAACTTCAGGCTGAGTGAGTTCTGAAGCAAAAGATCCCGGACAGCCCTGAGAGCTTGTAGGTACATCAAAGAGTTTCGAGCAGGAAGCTGCATCCTTGCCTCTCCCTCTCCCTCTCCCCCTCCCTCTCGATGGCTCCGTCACTGTCCCTTCGCCCTCTCTCTCTCTCTCTCTCTCTCTCTCTCTCTCTCTCTCTCTCTTTCTGCCGGGCATAAGGGTCGCGGTGCGACCCACAGGCACTTGGCCCGCCCAACCACTCTTTGGTTTATTGAGTGGTCGACTTTGGGGTAGTCCCCTCTCTCTCTCTCTCTTTCGTGCTCTCTCCGCTCGAATCAGTTGCTTTGTCCGTGCTTCCCAGATCTTCTGTTCAAGAAGAACGAGCTACCGCCAATCCACCTATGTCTTCGGCTCGCTGATCCGCTTGGTCTCGATCGTCTTCTTGCCCTTATCCAAGACCCACTGTTTCGACCGAAATGTTAAGCATATCGACAATCCCAAACCACGCGACGACGCGACGGAATCGCCTCCATGCCCCCAAAATGCCAAAGCACCCCAAGCTCTAAATGCGAAGTTTAGACTTTAGACTTCATCCCCCGGAACGCCACCGAGACACAGGTACGTGAGCTCCAGGAGTCCTTCGTGCCGGGCCTTCGACAGTTTCGCGTAGCCTGTCCGCAGAAGAGCGTAAAGAGGGGAGCTTGGGGACCCTCCCCCCTACTTTGAAAAACGTCCCCCCAAAAATGTCCCAACAGCTTGGGCTTTCGGCTTCGGCTCGGCGGATCCCGGAAATTGATGGGTGAAACATGTGCGGGCGTTTCCTTCGTAAAAAAAGAGCATTCCTCTCACATCAGAGTACATCACACATCCGAGGAAAGAAGTCTTCCCGGCAGCCTCGTGGAGAACAGTGCTAGCCGGCGTTTCACAGAACACTTACTCAGGTGAGATTTCGGTACGAGCACGAGAGCCTACATACTTGCAGCTATTCATGATTCTTCCGGGGCATGAAGCTGATGCCTGGTCACGTTTTGAACAGGTTTGCTGACCTCGGCGTTAGTAATTCCTACTTACTGATCTTGGAAGTGCATGCTGCTAGCGCAAAACCTTCCATGTGCTTCTTGGTGGACATGTTCTGTTGAAAACTGCTGTCAACACTCTGGCCACACGGCAAATGAAGTGCAAAGCACTAGCTCCATGAACAGGCCTTCCATCAGCGTGAGGAGGGGTTTCAAGTTCTGGAGGCCTGAGTCATGACAGCATGCAACATCCCGAACTTCACTTCGAGTACTAACTGGAATTCCTTCAGCAGCGAATCCAACGGATCTACCGCTCACTCTCCAATGCAGTTCGGATGCCCCTCCCCCAATGCCCGCAACTCCTGGTGCTCTCCGACTTGCCCTTTCAGAAAAAAAAACAAAAAGCCAGCCGAGCTTTCCCTGCTTCGTAAGTGTAGATGTGCATTTCAGGCTTTGGGATTGGGGTGACGGGGACGGCATGCATGTCAGCAACAGGTTTTCCTTCTGCAGCAGCAATGACGTTGGCTCTGTTCACTCCTCACACCTTCAAGCACTTGCCACCACCGCATCCAGTGTAGATTCCACCGAGGCAATCAGACTGATATTGGGCCGGAGTGATGCTGGTGAACTTGCGCGGGTAGTAGCAAAACCCTTTGGCGCCGATGTACTTAGTATCCGGACCCATGCAGTCCGACTGATGGTTGCATGAAACCAAACGAGTCATTGTAGCCCCTGGAATGAAGCATTGGCCGGATTCCTTGTCGTAGACACCTTGGCCGAAGCGGACACAGTCATACTCCCTGACGCCGGAGATCATATCACCTGGAAAGGCCACCTCGCCGTCGACGTACATGGAGGCGGCCTCCTGCTGGGCTTTGGCAAACTGGTTGCGGGTCGCCCAAGCGAGCTCTGGCGCTGTGCTGAGGATGAATGCGAGGGGGGCTCTCCTTGGCTTTGGCAAGCTTCAAAGACTATGGAAGCTGCCACAATGCTCTAAACAGACACTATACCGTGCCCTGAGAAGTCACCTTATGCCGAGCTGCATCGTGGATGCAGCTGCACACGCCTATCGAGAAATCGGATTTTGCAGGATCTGAAGCTATGAACCTGTGGCTGCGGATTCCCGAGCGCCAGCCTTGCAATGATTTCGCATCATGACTCAGCGGAAGTATCGCAGTGGCCATCAATATCTCTGCAGGAAAATTCAAATCCGTTACGTCTTTTCCTGCACTACCTCTCTCTACTGTATACGCATGTTTGCATATGTATGTTCACGGCACTTGTGCTTTTTGTAAACACCGAATGCATGTGTATACATGTAGCTGCACGTGCGACATTAATTTGCATCCGTCACGCACGGGCAAACCTCGCTGCATGTTAAAATTACAGCATAGCATATCTCAGCTGTCCAACTTAGCTAGGGAACGCCTGCTGTAATCAGACGAGAGCTGAGCCAGAACTCCCCTGTAGCTTTCTGCCAAGCGGCAGAGATTGTGCAATCCCGCCTGCCGACGCTGAAAGGTCGGGATTCGAAGATCGTGCCATGATTTGTTGATATGCTGACATGCTGATGTGATCAGGACCAGCTGTGTTACTGCCACTGAGAACTCCAAATCTTGATGATGGCTACTGCCACGATCACTTGGCTACCGTTGCACCAGCCTTACATTAGCCTTCTTCTGTTCTAGTTCACCAGGCCTTGAGGCTGTTGTGCCGGTGAGTCAAAATGAGGGTTCACGGGCCCGTTTCGAGAGTTCTCACGAAAGTCGACTTAAAAGGGCCTGTGTAGGCGGGCCTCAGGGGTATGGAGCCAAAAAAACTCGTAGCGCCCAAGGCTTTGAACTCATGAAAGTCCTGCATCCGCCACGGTCTGTGTCACTTAGACATGTCTATTACATCATCTACGTCAGCGGTTTCCAGCCAGCTTTCTGGAGGGCCGGAAGCCCAAAGTCCTGAATCCTGGAACCTTGGAACCCTGAACCCCGAGCCGAAAGGTCGCGTCTTTTCGTGATGGAGGTCGGCACCTCCATCAGCCGTGCGATGAGGCCGGACGACCGCTGCGTCCAGCACCTGACCCCCACAGTGCCAAGGATCCCGAGAGGGAGTGAGGTGGGCTGGTCTTTTCGCGCGGCTCCTTACAAGTTTGTACCTGTCCTGTTATGAAGGGCTTGTTCCACGTTCTTACCTGTACTCAACGGTTATGTTCAGAATGCCGTGTGTAATTTGAGGTCGCCGGCTGCCTCCCTTCTAAAACCAGGGCAGCCATAACGAAAAGAAACTGAAAGTACACCGGGAGCCCAAACCCAAAACTCACCCTAAGCCTGAACCTCAAGCTCCAAACCATATCTGCAAGTCTTGTTGAGTCCTACAAAATTTTGTAGGAATGTAAAGGCGACAAATCTCGGGCCGCCACGGGGAGACCACGCCCGTTTCCGACATGTAGAACAAGGTGATGGACTCCTGCGGCGCTTCTTATCTGACTTCCTTCACATGTTGGACCGAGCGATCAGCAAGATTGGCAAGGTTGGCAGGGCTGCTCAGGGTAAAACCGGCACGACGAAGCCGCCATAGTTCGATTGAGAGTCTGGGAAGGACTAGTGTGTTGTGTGATTGCTGGCAAGGTCAGCACTTTTTGCACGGGTAGTTTGGCTTTGATGGAAAGTGTGGGTGGAGTCTGACCGGAACAATGACAACAAAAAAATGCCACGACGACGATGATGGTATGACAGCCTATGAAGACATCACCCTCAGCCCTCGATCCCTAAAACCTAACCCCGAAGTCCGTAGCCCGCCAGCCCCGCTCCGGCCAAGTGATCCGATAGAAGGAGGCGGAGCGGGAGAAGCCGTCGGACAGGCTCCGCGAGAAGCTCTGGAGGCTGTAGGGCTCCCGCTTGC